CACTTCTTTTTTCTTTTCTCTTCTTTCCTTTGTCTTTATTTATATTCTTCAATTTTCAATTTAAGGTTTATTATGTCTTTTGTTAGTGTCGGTAGACTTTTCGGTGCTAACTTCTCCACTCAAAAAACCTTCCACCACTTCCAGCCCTTCAGAGACTTACCCAACCCCCTCTTCAAGGCTTGCCCTCCGACCCGTCGCGTGCCTCGTTCCGAGACAGGGGTCAGGGCCACGAACTACCGCCCACCCCTACCTATCCTCAACGGAGCACTACTTCCGCCTCCGTACGCCCTTCCCACACCACCACCTATTGTTCATATATTGTTCAATATGGTTTGTCTCTTTCAGTAACATTTTCTTGCCAAATTTGTAAAGCTTCTTTGAGCACCTGTAAAAGCGCAAATTAAATCTATTATCTATTATTATTATTATTATTATTATTATTATATGATCCTTTAATCAATTCAACCAGGAGTTATCATGCGATGAATGTTTGTTATTTACTCGTATAACCTGACTTTATTTTCGGGCTTTTAACATCAGCAAGGGCATAGAACTCCATGCCATTTCATCCATATACAAAACCACTTAATTGGTTGTTGTTCGTATAATAATTCATTAGAAAAGCCTAGCAATGTGGTTGGCTGTCATCCGATTTGAAGCTGCTGTTCACTTGTTTGAATTGGAAGAAGGAATTTGCAACTAATCCTAGAAAACATTGGCCAAGGCACATTCAACACTACGAGATAATAGCCTCTCTTTGGTGAAGTGGGCAATCTCCTGGCAAAGCTGCATTTGATTTAATATCTTATCTTCTATCTTAACTAGATTTGTTATTACACTGTACTCGTTATTCTGTTGAATCCATTACTGTTTGTTGTTTCTTAAGGGAATACTTTACAATAATACAAATATTGAAATGGTTGCCTCTGAATATGGAGGCAATCTTCTGTATTAGTTTTACTAAGCATACTTCAGATCAGAAAATTATCTTATGGGTCGATTTGCAATGTCTATTGTTTGCTCAAATATATTCATTTGTGCAGGAATAGGAAACAGTCTACTGGACTAGAGCGTATGTGTGTGTCAATAGAGCGGATGACTTCCTTTAAATACAGAATGATGTCG